TCTTGGAGGGGGGGGGGGGGGGGATAACCAAAACATATTAAAACAGATGGCACTTGACTTAGGACCAAGTCCCACTGTGTATTCCCCTTCTCCAGCACAGCACAAGGGTATCTGGTATGCTTCTGACAGCAGCTAGACCCAGGAGATATATACAGACGTCATTTATTTGACTCCAGGGAGAAGAAACACAACTCACCATTCCAACGTTAAATTAGTACACCAACAAAACACCAAGCAGCTTCATCATATACACACAGTGTTACATCATTTTACAGCGTACACACACACAAGAAAGTAAATGCAATACAATACACATTTATATAGCATACATTTATCTACACACATGCATACAGTCACATTGTCCCAGACGCAAGATCTCAGTGAATAAGTGAACTGGTATTACTTCAATGGTAGAGTCAGAGTCCACTTAATTTTTCTTAGAGACCCAGTCACCTTGTCCATTCAGTTTTTTAAATGACAGGGTCTGTTTAAAGCCCACTCCCCAGCCGATACTTGCACTCAGATTACATGCTGCTCGTTTCTTCATCACAGCCACTGAAAAATAGCAATGTCAAAACTTGCAGGGAGTGAAGACACCAACCAGCCCTCTGTCAAGTGAGTGTTCAGGCTCAGCAATAGCCACCAGGCCTCAGCACTGCATCATGTTCTTCATCACTGAAAGCACCCAGTATCTTGTGGTGGCTGTGTTGGAAGAAGGTGCAGTGGGGGGTGTTGGGAGTGGTCTTTAAACAGACCCTGCCACTTGTCCCTGAATGAGCAAGGTGACCGGGTCTCTATAAGCGGTGCCCTCTGTCCTCTGTAATCTACATCAGCCACTTTTCACAAGATCTAACACAGATGAGTCAGAAGAATTGTTGTTTTGGTGTTACCTCGATGGACATATAGATGAACTTCTGTCAGGATGTCATGAAGAGCCAGACCCTTTAGTGTCTTTAATTCCATGATATCTGAAAACATCACATTAAGGAAAATCCCTTTGTTCTGAGAAATGTATTACATTTACCAACATCCTAGCGACACTACCTGTCTTCAGATAAGTCGGTTACAATGCAACATATCTGTATCAGAAGCCTTCAACTTTAACCACCATTTTACATTCCTGGGCTGCAGACCATTTTTAAAGTGTGTGCAATAAATGTGGACTTTTAAAAGGGACCATGTTGCCTACCAAACACAGTATCAAGTCTATTCACAAAAAGATGAAGAGTTTGGAGAAGGCAGGAGAAGTGAACAACATAGCTGATTTAGAATAATTCTCCAATTCCGATCACTTTCCAGTTCAGCTATGTTGTCCTAGATTGTTCCCTTCTCCTGCCTTCTCCAAACTCTTCACCCTTTAGTGACTAACCCTGCAATTCCCCGTTCACACCTAGGCATTTGTAGCCGAAAGGGCTAAGCACTACAAAGCTCAAAAGGATTTCAATTATTTTCAATGGCACCTGTTCACATCCAAGTGTCCTGTCGCCTGCAACAAAACGCCTGTCACTGGAAAAAGTACATGAGCTACTTTTCTGCAGATTTCTGCATTCTGGGCAACAATGGGAACGCCTGCAAACACGGGACACAGGCATTTTTTGTTGTGTAAAAGTCAGCCTTCCTCTTTGCAAAAAACACTGGGGAGCAAAATGGGGAACAGCACAAGCTGAAAACAAGCGACAAAATGCTTTGAAAAACGCTCCACACACGCGTCAAACACTCAAAAACGTTTTTTTGTAAAAGAGCCTGACAAAACGTCTAAAAAGCTGACGCTTAGGTTTGAACAAAGTCTTAAAGGAGAACTATGGGGTCAGTGTTTTTCCCCATAGTTCTCCTTGGGGTAACGGGAGGACACAAACTAGCGTCCTCCCGTCCGTTCCGCCAGTCAGCGCTGGCAGATCCAAGCGGGGAGAGGGGAATCCAGCCCCTGTCACGGCAGAGAGCCGTGACAGGATCGAGAGGTGAGCGAACGCTGGTATGTTTTCCCTCACCTCCCGATCTACTGAGCCGACCTGTGACAGTTTCATTGTCACAGGTCGGCTTAGAACTATGAGGTGAGTGGAAATCACTCCCCTCATAGTTCTCTTTTAAGGCATTTTTTCCTTTTCATAATTGTTCAAGAAACATTTGGATGATTTTTTAAGGGACCATAATATACAGGGGTACAGTTACTCCTAGAACGAGATCCTAATAGGTTGGACTTGATGGACTAATGTCTTTATTCAACCTCAAATACTATGTAACTATATATTTTTACTGACTTGCAATGTACCTTTACCTAAAAAATGTGACTTCTAGAGGAAGAGTCAATTCCCTAGCACAGCCTAGTCCATCTCCTTCCATGTCATGGCCCTCTCCTCTACAGGGGTTGTCTTATTACTGACTGTCTGCGCCTTCCCCTTCCCTACATAACCTTCATGCAGCAGAAAGAGGGGACGAAAACGGAAATAATGAGGTCACCAGAGTGACAGCTCTGCATCTGCTGACATCACCAATGTGCAGTCTCAGGCCCTTTGGATGTCTACACAAGGGAGGCACTTGTTAAAGAGACCCTGTCGCCAGACCATTTATTTCATTAGCAGTCTTCCCAAAGATTGGGAATTTGGACATTCTAAATATGGCATATACAAGAACTGCTGCTTGAAGGAATATTATCCTACATACCCAAGGCCCAAACTAACAGTAGAAAACCAATAAATGCAGCTGAAAGGTCTTATTCACACCAGCGTTCTGACACACTGTTAATACAAATTTGGTTGCAAATGCATTTTATTGCAGTAAAAAACATGTTAAAATGCAGAGAACACACCAAAAAGAGTCCTCGTAGGTAACTGCTGCTGCATTAGGATTACAACTGGTTTGCTTTAAGGAGACTCTAGGGAAGCAGTCAAACACAAACACACCATTAATACATGTATAGCAACCATTTTACCAGGATTTTTGTTCCACAAGTCTTGTGACTCAGACATTTCTCCTCAGGCATGCAAGTGGCACCGCTATTTCCTACTTTAACACCTTCTATCTGCACATTGGACAGTTAGTCAGCATCATTACACCATCAGTCCATTGTCCAATGTGTAGGCAGATCAACCGGGAAGCTGCTTTTGTGGACAACAACACAGATAAAAAAAACTAAAAACTGGCAACCTCCTATTGGCCATAATGCTTTGTATCAATCACCATGATGCAGTGACAGTACATCTGGTGCTTTTTCAAGACTCCTTGAGAGCCTGCACAACTCCAGCATATTAAATGAATGTCAGCCTCGCAGACAATTTGATAACCTATATGTCTAAGAGTAAGGATGCACTAATACCATTTTTTCCAGACCAAATACGAGTACCGATACTTTTACTCAAGTACTCGCTGACACCAATTACCAATACTTTGTAGTGTGACAGTTTTTCTAAAGCCGGCTTTATGCTTTCTGGTCACCTCGTGACGAGGGAGCTTGAAGCCGGCTTCCCGACCAATCAGGGAGACAGTGGGCGGGTAATGATTCGCCACCCGGCTTCCTGATTGGTTTGGGAAGCTGGCCAATCAATATGCCGGGCGGCGAGTCATTATGCGCTCCCAGCTTCCTGATTGGCCAGCAAGCCAGCTCCATGCTTCTTCACCACCTGGTCACGAGGGAGCTTGCAGGCAGCTTCCCAGCCAATCAGGAAGCCGGGTGGCGAATCATTACACTTCTGGTATCGGCGAGTACCGAAAAAATTAATTGGTACTTGATACCAAAAAACAGTATTGGTGCATCCCTAATTATCACTAATCTAATGGGTGAGACGGTTGGTGAAATCATCCCAAAGATAATGCAAACAAGTCTAAAGTTTCAGTTTTCACTCATATGAACACTGCGTTAATTTATTTGGAGAAAAGTAAATGAGCAAAAGCAATAATGTCAATACCAACCAACCAGAATTCGTGTTAAATCTTTTCTAAAAATAGAAAGGTAAAACCTGACTGGTTGTTCCTGGCATAATTCCACCTTTTATTAATCAGCTTCCATGTGTTGCACATCAAGGACACAGCATTGTAAGTATGATGGCCCCAATAATGACTGCATTACAAACTGTATGGAGGATACGTTTATAGGCTGTGGTGAAGTCCTTGTTGAGCATCCAGTCCAGAATGTTGGCTATGTCCGATCTCAAGGGATGCCCAGTGCAGGTATATACTGTATCTTCAGTCACATTTCCATAGGCCATATTTGTACTCTGCAGGAATAATATCATTAAAAAAAAAAAAAAAATTGTAATTTAACTAAAAATGACTTTTACCCCAAATTATTTTTTTTAAGGTCAAGAACTGCTAGAAGTTTTGGTTCAAAAAAATAGTCAGTCTGTCTGTGTAAATGACCCTAAGATACAGCGTGCATTGCACTATAATGGTATCTTCCAATAACTTGATGATTACGTTATTACATGTATCCAGGAATGTGGTCAGCCTATGTCCATCTGCCCTAAAAGTTTGCCTTTCATCCATAATTTCCTCAGGGGGAAGGTTCGTGTACATCTGTCATCACATCATTTACTGCCAGCCTACAGAAGTATAATGTACTGGCATGAAAAATGACATACCTGCAATATATTCAGTGCTCTGCGCATGTCCCCATTGGAAAGGGTCACTAAGGCCTTCATTCCATCTGGGCTTATGTCCACACTATCAAAAGGAGGAATTGGAAATTATTCAGCAGAAAGTGCAGAAATAAGAGATGGGTTTTGAAAACAGCCGTAAAACAGACTAACTTCTCCTGTTGCACTACATGCTCCAGTCTGGGGATCATCATCTCTGAGCTTAAGGGACCAAAGCGGAAGCGTGTGCACCTGGACTGCAGAGCGGGAATGATCTTCGACAGATAATTACAAATCATACAGAAACGTGTGTTCTCAGTGAATTTTTCAATCACTGCAAAGAGAAAAATATAAGGAAGGGGCACATAAAATCCATATAAGATACCGAACAGCTTTTAAACAAACAATCTATTTTACATACGTAAATGTATTTGCCTTGGGCCAGAAACCACAACACAATTTTTAACAGATGCCCACCCACAGGAGGCAAGTTAACCAATATAGTACTTTGCACTAAAACAACAAAAAAAAACCTTTAAAAAAAAGTAATTTTAGGGAAAAAAAAAAAAAAAAAAGAAACCATTCAGGAAGCTGCTACTGCAGTGAGCAAAGAAATTATGATTAAGTCAATAAGTTTACATTTATCTTTATCTAATATCTATGTAATTCCATCCAGAATTTTAAAAAAAAATCTTAATTACATTTGTCACTTACAGCTTTAAAAGTTTGTAATAAAACATAATTAAATTAAAATCATTATAAGTGCACACAAATATTATAACTAGAGATGCATCGAAATTTCAGCCGCCGAAACAATGCCGAAAGTACCACAATGGCCGGAAATTCAGTGCATCCTGACTGCTTCTCTCCTCCTGACTGCGCAACGGTATGTGTCCCCTCCGATGCCCACTGGTCTCCCCCGTGTGTGTCAGCAGCGGGGATCATAGGGGACACAGACCGGTGCCCAGTCAGGAGGAGAGAAGGTGTCAGGAGGCCGCTCAGGTGCCGAGCGGGGTGAAGACAGTTGTCACAGGAACCGAGCGGGACGTTGCGGGAGGAGAGCTCAGAATGGAAAGCACGGAGGAGATGGTGCAGGTAAGCTCTCCTCCCTGTACCGCCCTGCTCAGCCTCCTGAGTCTGAGTCAGGGTGGAGTGCGGCTTACAAGCACTCAGCTGATCGCTGGGCATTTGTAAATAACTGAGGACATAGTATGCTTACTGTGCCCCCCCTTTATGAAGAAAGCTGGTTGTTAATCACAGCCAGCTCATCCAAGATCTTGAAGAAACAACAGGAGAGAAGTTTCTCAGCATCGATAACACACATTTGTAGGAAGACATCTAACAAGTATTTGTATGCTCCTAAAAGAATTAATGTGATTTTATTTCACAGTTCTTGGGAATTGAATTTAATCACATCAGTCTCCCTCCATATAAACTAGATCAGCAACATTCATGTCCTGTCTTGGAGGAAAGACAGAGCATTTGTAAATGTTAAATTGGTATCCTGATCATAAAGTTCTCTGTTATGGCACATTATGTAACTAACCTGAAGTCCGTGTAATGTGCATATGTAATATCCTATGTTTTATTAACTCTTTTTTCCCCTTCTTTTTAACAAATTTCCTTAGAAACAAATTAAGACGCTGCACAGCATTTATGAATACAGCAAGTCACCATAGTAAAAACTATGACAGACTTGCCAACTGCATAAATTCAGCAGCTGTAACATAAAGACTAGACAGATTGTTATGTCTATCTGAAATTTTCAAAAGATCTGGCAATTTTGTAGCATTTCCAGGCATATGGCAGAGGAATTGTTTGCCATTTTACCTCGTCTTAGAGCGTTCTGCGCATCCTGAGTCATTGCATCTGCTTCATCCAAGATCACAAGCTTGAAGCCTTTTCTGTAACGGAGAGGCAGCTGTCACTTTAAGACAAGCAAACAAGGCTGCTTTATCTAAAGATGGCTGCCTCAACACAAAGACAAAATGTAGAACAAGGCATGGTAAGTCAGTAATGGGGAAAGGTCAGATGCAAAGAGACAACAGGCAATACTGGTGATTAGAACGGATTGTTTTTGGGCAGAAAAATCTAACACTACAGAATCCAGATAGACAAATAGCAAAAACACACAGAATCATTAGAAACTTACTTAAATATGGTTCTAGTGCTGGCAAAGCTTAATATCGGACCTCTCACAGTATCTATACCACGGTCATCTGATGCGTTTAACTTAAAAAGAGGGGAAAAAATTTAACTTAACAAAATTGGCTTGTCAGGGGGTTTACTTTTTATATATACATACAGTATGTACACATACACATACATTGATATATATATATCACACACACACATACTTTTTGGGTAGCCAGCACCATTGACAGCAACTAGAGAGAAGCTCAAAAGTCAGGCACCAGCTTTCATTTTTAAGTAGCATTGGCTACCTGGCTCCTGGGATTTAGTGGGACCTCAGGCAACCACTTCCGTTTAACCCTTTCGCTGCCAAGGACGAACGGCATACGGAGCTACAAAAGTGCTTCCAGCTGGCCAGCTCAGTATGCCGTACGGACCTGGCATTTACAGTTCTACTATAAGCTGATGGTCGCTTTAGCGAACTGTTCAGCAGACTGTCCCCCTGCTATTATCAAAAATACCGGGCGCCCCCACCTCCCAGCAGCCCCCCCAACAGTAAAAAAATAAAAATAAAAAATAATTTAAAAATAAATAGAAAATGTAAAAAAATAAAAATGTAAAACAATAAAAAAATGTGTACAAAAAATAAAACAAAAAGCACAACCCCTCCCTCCCCCCACATAACATACACATATTGAGGTGTACACCATGCACATGCGCTGCAGTGCGATTTTTTTAATGTGTTTTTTTCTTTAAAAAAAATTAAATTAACTGTGTCAGCGCATGGCAAAGCTTTGTGACGCATTGCCATGCGTTGTGATCTTTGTGTTGCAATAAATATACGCCTGTATCATTTTATCACAACACAAACACCAACACAGCGTGAAAACAATTTTTTAACATAAGTTGCTTATTTACAGTTTTGCGTACCGTAATTTTTTTACCTTTTCGCAAAAAGGCGCAATTTCAAATTTGCTAATATTTGTTATTTATTAACTCAATACAGTTTTATCTTTTAGATTTAGTCAGAAAATATTTTTTTTGTGCACGGATACTGATTTTGGTGTGTTTTAACAATTGAATTGTGTATTTTTATCGGTTTAATATTAATTTGAGAAACATTTGCGCAATTATCGCAGGGCCTACAAATTTAGTATCACCATCTTTTTATTCTACCGGGCCTGCGCTTTCAGAAAATATATGGTTTGGGGGGTCTTTTACAAACGCTAGCAACGCAGCAGTTGAAAATCAAATCAATAGGAAAAAATTGCAGAAAATTCAAAAATGGCTTGGCCAGCTGATTTGAAAAATGTTCCGGAGGGCTTGGCAGCGAAAGGGTTAAAAACTGAACGCACCAGTATCGGTGTATAGTATCGGGGCATTTTCACAAGCACTAAAATGCCCAGTATCGGCACTGATACCGATATCGGTGCATCCCTAGCACAAATGATTAGCAAAACAATATTTCTGATAAAAATACACTACAATCATTATCAGTGCACACACAAATAACATAAATGTACACAATTCCTACTAAGTCTAAAAGATAAAACTGTATGAAAAGGTATTATGTAAAATATTTGTAAATTTAAAATTGCGCCTTTTTGCCAAATGGTAATAACTTAGGGTACGCAAAACTGAAAATAAGCAAGTTATGCCAAATATCTGGAGGTTAGCCTCACACTTCCTGTATGTAGGGCTGCAAATAATTATTTTCATAATCCATTAGTTGGACGATTATTTTTTTCGATTAATCAGATAAAAAAATTAATACCCTCCTTAATTTAAAATAAAATACACAAATGCAGCATTACAAAGCTTACTTCAGCCTAAAACTGCATGCACGATTTTTTGTAATCGCACGGCACTGGATATCACAGCATTGCGGTACCGTCCGATCGTACTGTGGGCGGGAGGCGCGTTTGGGTTGCCATTTAAATGAATTTCACTAGGGCTGCAACAACTAATCAATGATGATAATGGTTGGCAACGATTCTCATCATCGATTAGTTGCAGCCACCGCTCTGCTCCCCGCTGGTGCTGGCTGCAGCGCTCTGTGTCTTTTTCAATCACTGCCTGTGTCGGCAGAGGCTGCAGGGACACAGACCACTGCAGCCAGAACCAGCGGGGAGGAGAGACCGCTGTGACTCTGCCATCCCCCCAAGCAGCCGCTCCTGTCTCCTCTTCCCCTGCCCGGCGCTGTTCAGCCTCAGCCCCCGTTCAGCCGCTTTAGCCCCACCCCCGTTGCAACTAGAGCCTGCTATTGGATATTTTAAAATGCAATATCCAATAGCAGGCTGGCTATTGCTCCCAGGACTAAAGTAAAAAAAAAAAAAAGGTTTAAAAAGATAACTTCCTCCGCCCTCATCTGCCATAGGCTGGGAGGAAGACTGCAGCTGCTATTGGCCGGCTCAAAGTTTTTGCAGCACGGAACCTGAAAGGGAGGCTGGAGCTGTGAACATGGAGGATTCATCTCTTTATTCCCCACTACCGGCACCACCACCACCAGACAAAGGGCATCTAAATCCGCAGAGGAAGAGGGCACCTAAATCAGATCAGCTATGTGCACTGTAAGTCCCTGTTCTTTCTGCCTTACACCGCTGACCTCTGTGCGTTACATTACCGACCTCTGCCATGTGCGTTACATTACCGACCTCTGCCATGTGCGTTACATTACCGACCTCTGTACTCGGCATTACCCCACTGGCCTCTGCACTCTGTGTTTTGTAACTGATCTCTGTGCTTTGCGTCACACTGCTGAGCTGGTGGAGTTACGGCCGGGGCAGGGTAGGGGTTAGGTGGGGCAACTAGTGGCGAGTAACTCTAAGGCCTGGCTAGTAGCTCAGGGCCTGAAATTTTTAGCCCTGCCCTAAAGTTTATGTAAAGGCAAAAATTTTTTTTTTCCATGTTCCATTTTTTTTTACATATTCATAAAAAAAAGTACACAGACAAAGAATAAAAATACCTCCAAAACCATAGAGTTAAACTCCTTCTCTTTGTAAAGTTGTTTTGCACAGGCTAGAATTGTGGAAGTTTTGCCTGTCCCCGGTGGTCCATAGAGTAACAGATGAGGTAGTTTGTCTTCGCTGATAAACCTCTGAACTAGTATTGGAGAGAAAAAAAAAGGGAACATTTGAATATTATATATAGGGAAGAACAAAAATCCTCCATACACAAAACACCTGCTTCTAGCAAGTTGTATCTGTAAGATACCCAACATTTTTTTTACCAAAAACACCTACGGAACAACACGTGACATTTGTCTACTCTGCAATGTAGTGATTGAAGTGTCACATCTCAGATGAAAATTAATTCCTAAAAGCTCCAGCTTGGGCATGGGCAGGTAGCCCAAGTTTGTGCAACACTAAGGATCCAAGGCTTCTGCACCTGAAGTAAAGTGGAGGGCCTGTAGGCAGAGAGATAGTGCACTGCACATGGCAGGTGGGGGCAAGCACCTGCACAGTCCTGCAGAAATCCTAGCTGCCAAAATGGACTGTGGGCAGCTTCAACAGTTAAGTAGGAAGAATGGACACTGGCAGAGGTAAAAAAAAGCACAAGGTAACCCCTACTACTCTCAAGCATACCTTATATTCGTGGCAAAGCAGTACCAAGAGCATTATAACAGAGGGGGGAGGGGAGGGCTGATTTCTCATTGAGGGCCACAGGAAGCCTTTTAGAGTTGGGACGTTCAACAGCAGTCCAACTGAAGTGCAGGCAAAACATTAACAGGCCCACAAAAAACAACAGAACCAGAGACTTCCAGCAGTTCAAAGATCTGCCCAAAGAACCACACACCTAAAGCTTGCATCAGGTGAAGCATATCATTCCACCTGGTAGAACTTGGAGAATATGTGAAAAGAAGACCAGATGGTAGTCTTGCAAATCTAAGAAACAGTAACATGATGCAAAAGAACAACTACTGATCTAGTGGAGTGTACCTCAACAGGAAAGCACTTTTTTACATGCAGGTTCCACAGCACAACGGTTTAGCCAAATAATGAGACGGGAGACTCCAACAACCCATCATGGTATAGCTCAAGGCTGCAGGCATGAATTCCAAACACAATGATCAACTGCCACTGCGATCAGATCCTTCTTAAGAAGGTACAAATATCTTGTCAGGAGATGAACAGCGGGTGCACCAGACCAGTCTTAGGCGCTCTAAAGAATCCAAGACTGGAAACAACGCTGGTAGAGGCTACAGAATGATCCCTGAGATTTAAAGTGGTTTGTAGTTCAATAATCGCTGAAACAGTCTTTCAGTTAGGGAGTAATGGCAACAGACTGCAACTCCTCAGATGCAGATTGGTCCATCAAGGACTGAAAAGGTGAAGGCTCAGAGGCCACAGGCAGATCCAATAAAGATTCTGCATGCCTGAGGCCTCTGCAGTCAAAGTCAGCAAGCATCAGTGTTATTGCCCATACAATACTCTATGACTGCAGTAAAATCCTCCTTGGACTAAGCAGGAGGTGGCTGCCCCCAATGGAGCTAGCATAGACTCTGAAGATGGCAAAAATCCAGGTCGCAGGAGTTGGTCCCATCAGTGGGTGCACTGGAGGCACCTGAGGTGTTGGGAGTATAAGCTGGAGGCACCTAGTACAGCAGGACTGGCCCCTCTGTGTGTCTCAAATTAGACATGTTGCACTGAAAGTTGAAGGCAACATAGCTGATGGAACGAAGCAAAGCACCAGGAAACAGGTGTAGGATCAGTCAGCTGAAGGTGACCAGGTCACTGGACAGATGATCAGAGTTCCACGTAGCTCTTGCAAGCAGGAGCATCATTTTCTTAGAAATAACCCCGTCCAGATAAAACCAACAAGACACCTAAAGGTGCTTAGTAGCCCAAATAACGAAGCAGCTCCCAGTAATTGGCCTATAGACAAAGTGAGTTTTCAAATACAAGGCAAGTGCTAAGGGAAAGCCACGATTCTGGAGCTAGAAAGTGGTCTGTAGCTAACTTTTACTAACATGTGATGCCTGGAAAGCACCACAAGTGAAATCCAGTTGCTAAGGTTCACATTCCCATATAGCCCAGCGTGGCAATATAACCTGAAACTATAAGTCTTCTTGCGTCCCTCAATAGACCAGGAACAAAAATACACTTAACCCTTGAGGTGAACATTTACTTTAGTGTTAAACATTATAGCTCTACATATTGGTTTCATGTAAATAGATTAACAGGTTAGTTGTCAAATTTTCACCAAAAAGCACAAACACTGTAAGAAAATAGAAACGGCCATATTCCAAAAGAGATACCATTGTAACATCAGATCTTTCTATGTAATTCGTCAAAATAGTTCGAGACCATTGAGTTGTGTGTTCAATAATAAAACCAGACCAAATTTCCCTTTCGACTTACTTGTGTTTAAGATATCTTGATGCGAGATCAAATCGTCAAGAGTTTGTGGACGGTACTTTTCAACCCTGCACAGAAACATTACATCAAATGTATAAATGATTCAAATACACAAATCCTGCAAGAGAATGTTTTTCATCAAAATCTGGAAGTCAAAAAAATGTGTCCCAGAATTCCAATTGTTTGTCCCACTTACAGTTCTGATACTGATTTGTATGTAAGTTTCCTTCCAGAGCTAATCAAAACAATAGTAGTGGTTGTCACCCATCTGATCAATGAAGAAGTGACAGCACACAGGTCACACTTCTGTGCACTCCTCTTGTATATAAGCTCCCACTGCTGTGTTAACAGCATTGGACAATGCAAAAAGTCTCAGGGACTCAGCGCATACAAGACATCATGGTTCATTCACAACTCCAAATAATTCTATTAACAGGGATGTTGGGAGGTATAGTTTAGCACCAGATTGAGTATGTTTTAAAAATCACCCCCCTCCCCCCCATGTATTATGTAAAATATGACATGGCAAAACCTTCAAAGAAGGACTTTTAAGAATATTTAGAGTCCCTCCATAGGCCCCGTACACACTGAGCGATTTATCGCGCGGTAATTCCCGCGCGATATCGCTCTCCAATGCTTGGCAATGGGGCAAAGGGTCCTGCTGTCGCGGGTCGTGCGTCGCTACAGCAGGACCCTTTTTGGAGCGGATTTTGCCGCGATTCTAGCTTGCTCAATGCAAGCATTTGCGCGATATCACGCAAAATGCGAATCGCGCAGTGTGAATGGGGCCTTGAAGAACTCCAGGGAGAAATATTCTGAACACTTGCAGTGGGGCTACCACTGGTCGTTTTTGTCTAGGGGCGAAAATAAAGAATATATTAACCTGAACCTTGCAGCCGACTGGTCACTGCAGTCACTCATCTGCAACCACATGTCCTACTCACTGGATAGGACATGATGACTGACAGGACCTTAGATCACCGGAGCAGAGGGGGAAGAGAGGCTGCAGGGACCGGTCTAACAGCCACAAGGTTCAGGTGAGTATAACTTTATTATCATCCCTATATGAAAACAAGCACTTAACCCTTGCAATGCGGGGGTAGCCCCACCTGCAAAGGTTAAGACTATTTCTGCCCAGAGTTCTTCTATATGACAAAACAGTAGCTACATTTCAATTTTTTTTTTATAAATGAAGTAGAATGACCATGCCCATGATTTAATTCCACAAAAGAAGCAGGTAAACGCATTTAAGCGCACATAGATGTGTTTTGGCTTGTCTCCTGTGTGTTTACACTGGCAAAAGTAGAGGCAGGAAGCCATGGAATGCTTAAAAACTCCAGATAAATGCTTTAGCATGTGTGGAGATTAAAAAAAACACTTGTCCAAGAGTCCAATTCTACTTGTCCCTCATGACAACCCACATGTGATACAAAAAAAATAATTTGAACCAAAACCGTATTAAACCGTGCTAAGAAGAGCTTTTTATTGGTCGACGCAGTCAGGTCAATGAGTGCTCGCTATTTGCAAGCGACATTTAAAATGCATAGCGCAGAGATGCGATGGATGGCCGTATGGGGTACGGATAGTACACCTGTACCAGCGGAGAGGAAGGACCATTCGCTTAAATGTAAGTATATGGGAGGGGGGATGTGAGGCCAGATTGAGCAGGTAATTCCATTTGCAGCCCGGCTTGTTTATCATATCCCCAACCTTGCTATTTGTGACAGACACACTTTTGCTAGTTACACACAATGCAGGGCCAGTAATATGGGCTGAGACCCACAAGAGCTGTAGCGGAAGACCGGTCATTACAACTACATCAGCTTTGGGGACATTTATTTTGTATCTTCCTCAGGCTGTAATAAGACTATATGAAGCTACATCTCTCAGAGCACACCTACCCGTCCTAGTGCACCCCCCAATCATCATCATCTGGGTCACCGTCTGGCTGTCCCCTTGGTTGTGCAAAGCACAGACAAGGCAAGTTCTGCGGTGCCAAGACTACCCATACCCGGAGACACCATGCACCCCTTCCTACTAACAATGAGGCTCGCACTCTCCCTACCATGGCAAGTTCCTGCTCTGTGACTTGGCTTCGGGCACCATGATAGCGGCAGACACTGATGCACGAACCAGCACTGTCACATCACGGGGTCAGGGGACGGGGCTTCGGTTTCGCGCCTTGCGGTGCCTCGGAGCTTCTCGCGAGATCTCCGTCGCCTCAGCGATCTGACATACGTATGACTTCCGCCTTTCTCAGCGGCTCGGGTACATCGGCTTTGTACTTTGGTTATCTGTTTCCATTATGGTTGTCGTATCAGTTTTCTTTCCTGCGGAGAGTCTGTTAGCAGGAAATGTGTTATAGTTTCCGGCTAAACTGAGCTAGCTTAAAAAGCTGGGGGGTTTTTCTTTTCAAAGGCAGCCGAACCGTTTCCCTTATTATGTAGAATACACGGCGGACAGCAGCATGGTGAAGATGCCTGACTCCCTATTCCTCTTTTGTCATACTTCAGACATGTACATGTTTGGAGTCAAATCCCCCTGTTCCTTGTCCGTCTTTCTTTCTTTGTTGGTGTGATGCATGCAGCATTTATATAAATGTACTCATTAACTACGAGCAGTGTTATGAGTAAACCTTCCATCCAATGCATTTGTTATTGCAGACGTCACTATAAAGGGAGGAGGGGAAGGGGGGTTTGTATTCATTGTCTGCCCCAGGTGTAGCTGGATGGGTGACTGCAGCCACCATTCCCCCCACACATTGCATCTCTAAGGGGGGTCACTGTGGGTCATGATTCCTGCTGTTCCGCAGGAGCATCTTCATAGCTGTCCTGTCATATTCCAGCCCTGGCCTGCTGAGACCTCAGATACAGAGGCCTCATTTAATTAGAAACTGTGTATGGTGTGTGGTGTGTGAACCGAGTTATAGAAAAATTGTCTATTTTCCAAGAAAAATGGGCAATACTGGTTTCAAAATATAAAGAGGAATGTTTAGCGTTGTTCTTTCTCTCACCCTTCTCTTTGCAAAGTACGTAAAGGTTAAGAATGACCAAAACTTTCAATAATCAACTTGAGCATTACTATTCCCCACAACTAAGAGATTAGATACACACTCACACATTGAACTGGATAGACCTGGGTTTTCATTCAACCTTAATAATTATGTAAGTATGTAACCCTATCACTATGTATAGAGACCTTAGAAATGTCTCTGTTAGGAAGACAGGAGTTTCTGCCACTACCAATGGCAATGATGGAGATAAAAAGGAGAAAGGTTATTTATTATTATATGGGATTAATATAGTTTGTGTAGCACTTTACAAAAAAAAGGTTACAATACAACAAGTGGCATAGAAGAGAATCAGAAAAAGGTTTAGCAACCTCCATTGTGTCAACAGGGTCAAAAGTAGAAAGCATTGAAAGCGGAGGTCGATATGGTATGCTAGGTGTGGAGATGGACAGCAGAGATCTCATCTCGAATTGCGTCAATCTTGGTTTTGAAATGACTGACAATCTCTTGGGCAGTGAGCGAGTCCGTGGAAGTAGTCAGTGACAAAGTAGAGAGTTAAAAGTAGCAAAACGTTGACTAGGGCTGGATGAAAGGGTGCCAATAAGATCCAAACGTTACACATTTTCTTCAGATGATGTGCTTCTACAGAGCACTTTGCCACAGACTAATACGCTACAGGTAAGCGCTGTGGGATTTAGACAAAACTTGCAGTTTCTTAAACTAAATGCAAGCTGTTTATTCCAGGCAAATGTAACATAAAGGGTAAAAGCATCCAGCCATACAAAACACATAGCAAACAAAGTTCTGTTCAACTGAGCTTTACTGAGTCCTTGTAAAAGTCTCTTGTTCTAGGTAAGGTACCTCTCTGGGAACAGCCACAGTCCATCAAATGGTTCCTAATATCATCCTGACAGATTTAGATCCAAGAGACTTTTCTTTAGTACAGTGCACATAATAAGGCAGACTTAGGCTTTTGTCTCAGGTGGTGCCTCATTTAGTTATGTGGGATTGCGGCAGGCAGAGTGGCATGTTGCCAGTGCAGCAGTGGCTTACTAATAGCCATGACAGCCCTTGTGCCTGCCAGGGGGCTGATTAGGGACATTAAACTGTGAAGTTTCCAGTATAGAAGGGGCTCAAGTCACACCTCAGGATTGTCTATTCACAGATCCCCCTCTCTGCAGTAAGAAGCATTTTCTTATCTATCTTAGCAATGTAGATTTATTGTCCTCCGAACTTCTGCTACAGACTGAAATTTACCCTGTATGCCTAATGTAGTCACAAATCTCAGAGTTTCACCTTATTTGAGGTTTTTGGTTCTACAAAAAAAACTTTAATGACACTAGAGTTTAAAGATGTTTGTATTAGTGTGTACAAGAGCATGAATTATTTTATCATAATATAAAATATCATAATCCATACACAGATCCCCTGCTGATCAGAACGGGTGTCACTTTTGTGACATCTGTGTCTGTTTAGTTTTTCCTTCATCTTGCAATGGAGATAAAACTACTAACTGACCCATGTTAGCTCTATGAGCAGTCAGATGAACGTGGATATGCAGCTGTTTACATCCAATTGTCTCTGATCCATCACGATCAGGTCCACCACAACGGAACTCCTAGACGGAGTCAGTGGGTAATCAGCTGTAAACAGAAGCATATCCGCTAACATATGGCTGGCCATATAGTTACATTGAACTTCCAATCAGATCTGCCTGAAAAACTGAAAGGTGGAGCCGATTGGACTGCCTGTGTGATAGTTGTCTGTTTAATCATGACCTTTGGTCGTATGATTAAAAAAAAAGAAATACACGGGTTGCCAATGCCTGGGCTTTTGTCAGCCCATTCACTGTACCTTTGTTTCTTCTCCCAACGCCGCCGCAATAACTGCCGTTCTCCCCGCTGCAGACTCAGACTGTCAAAGGTCTCTCCTCAGGCTGTAATCGGCTACAACGGTTTGTGCCAGAGGGGACACAGATCGCTGTAGCCGATTACAGGCTGTGAGGAGCAACCACAGACAATCTGTGAGTCTGCAGTGGGGAGGAGAACGGCAGAGTTATTGAGGTGGCAGTGGTGGGAGAAAAAGCAGAGGTACAGTTCTTCATGCCGCCAAAGCCCCACCTGCCCGCTACGCACCCCGCGGCCCTTGCTGCCAGTCGCGATAGGTCTTCAATACAGCAGCCGGCAGCATTAGCCAGCCTGCTATTGGCTATTTTAAATTGCAGTAGCCAATAGCAGGCTGGCTATTGCACCTCTACACTGCCTGCTGTCAATCAGCAGAGGTGGACCTGAAGGGGAACTTTACTTTGCTGATTGGCAGCAGGTAGTGGATGGGTGCAATAGCCAGCCTGCTATTGGCTATTGCAGTTTGAAATAGCCAATAGCAGACTGGCTATTGCTCCCACCCACTGCCTGCTATATTTACATTCAGCTATGTGGCAGCTGTCATTCCCCAGGTAAATCTATTGAAGTGGAAAGGTGACACTAGGGGTCTAATAGACCACTAATTTCACCTTAAAGAGAACCTGTCATCTCCAATGAGTAAAAAAGAAAAGTAAAATTAAATTAAAAATACCAAAAAAGAAAATTAACCACTTCTAGCAGGTTCACGTAAATACACGTCATCTGTTGGAAGTGGTTATACCAAGAACACGACTGCTGCATCAGCCGTGTTCTTGGTACCGGTTTAAACAGCAGATGTTGACTGACAGGCGCCGGATCACTTGTACGGTGCAGCGCCATGTGCCCCGCGCCCGGTGTGGTGAGTCTCCCCTGATGGATCGGAGAAGAGATCAGTGGCTTCTAGCCTTTTCTCCGATCCATCTCCTCTGATCACTGATCTCTCCTCCGATCACTGGGCCCGGAAGTGATGTGCATTACATCACTTCCGGTGTCACTGGCACATTCTCTGGCTCCTAGAGACAGAAGAAGAAGCTGGTGAAGCAGATATCTGCTTCATCAGCTTCTTTGGGGTCCATAGGTGGCATTACGGGTCTCCATAAAGATGACCTGTCACATCATATTTGCTATTACATAGGGGGCTTGTTAGCCCCCTATGCAATAGCAATAAAGTTGAGTGTAAAAAATAAAAATCAAAGTAACAAATAAAAAAAAATTCAAAATGCAAAAAAATTATTTTAAAGTCCCCCACCACCCATGTGCAAGCACATACATACACAAACATGTGTCGGATGCGCCTACATGCAAAAACAAAAATTGTGCCACACATGTTACATATCTTCGTGAGCGTCAGAGTGAGAGCAATAATTTTAGGCCCATGATTTACTGTTAGTACTAAAGTGATGAGCTGTAAAAGCGTTTAAAGTGATCCCTATAGTCTTTTGCAGTTTCACGGACGCACGCAATTTTAAGGCTTGTCATGTTTATCTATTTACCCGACGTGACCCCGTCTTTTATATTTTACCAAAACAAAATGGGTATTATGTTCTGTTTCATTTTATTTTATCCTAAAAATACTGGTTTGATAAACATTTGCACATAAAAAATTGCAACTAGCATCTTTTTATTCTACAGGGCCTCTGCTTTCAGAAAATATATCATTGTTTGGGGGGACGGAAGCTGTTTTCTAGCCAAAAATTCAGATTTTATCAGGCTGCGCAAACTCTTGGCGCTATATGAATCCTGTATAATAATAATGTGTGTGCAAATGTAAGAAATTGCTCCAGACGGCAAGTGGTTAAACCCCCTGTCCACCGCGAAGGCTCCTTACTTTTTTAGCTGGCTCCTGGATTCAAAGAAAAATTGTCAAGCCCTGGCATACGGTATCTTATAAAGCATTTTGTCTGGGGTTTGCATGGCTACAGTGCTAGCCATAGGCCAGGCCAGGGGGCGCAATTTCACACTTCACACTTGCAAGCAAAAGATGCAAGTCATTTATATGACTTTGTCAAAATGACTGGACCACTTGACAACAATGCCAAAAAACTTAGGTGTGCATTTGCAACTACTGTTATGTAAAATATTGCCCTCCTTATACTCCCTACAGCTCGCGGTATACTGAGACCGCCGCAGCCGGGACAGATCCCGACATTACTGTCGAGATCCACCCAGCTGCATGAGTGACAGCTGGCTCTGCCTATCTAGAGGCA